CCCCCTATCATACAGGCTGGAGTGCAGTGACATGATCATAGCTCACTGTAACATCTAACTTCTGGGCTCAAGATATCCTCCAGCTGCCGGGCGCAGTGGCTCATGCATGTAATCCTAGCATTTTGGGAAGCCAAGGTGGGTGGATCACCTGAGGTCAGGAGTTCAAGACCAGCCTGGCCATCATGGTGAAACCCCATCTTTAAGAAGAAAAAAAGAAATAAAAAGATAAAAAGAAAAAGAAAAGAAAAGAAAAAGATATCCTTTGGCTTAAGCCTCCCAACTTACACACTCGAACCTAAATTTTTTTTTAATTGGCTAATTAGAAGAAAAAAAGGCGGCCGGGCGCGGTGGCTCAAGCCTGTAATCCCAGCACTTTGGGAGGCCGAGGCGGGTGGATCACGAGGTCAAGAGATCGAGACCATTCTGGTCAACATAGTGAAACCCCGTCTCTACTAAAAATACAAAAATTAGCTGGGCATGGTAGCGTGTGCCTGTAATCCCAGCTACTCAGGAGGCTGAGGCAGGAGAATTGCCTGAACCCAGGAGGCGGAGGTTGCGGTGAGCCGAGATCGCGCCATTGCACTCCAGCCTGGGTAACAAGAGCGAAACTCCGTCTCAAAAAAAAAAAAAAAAAAAAAAAAAAGGCTGTTGTAGAGACAAGGTCTCACTATGTTGCCCAGGCTGGGCACTCTTGGCCTCAAGCGATCCTTCTGCCTAGGCTCCCAAAGTGCTGGGATTACTTGTATGAGCCACTGTGCCCACCCCTCTTTCTTATAATGTCTTTATTGGATTTAATATCAAAGTTATGTTTGTCTAATAAAATGAATTGGAGACAGTAGCCTTTATTTCTTTTCTTTCTTCTTCTTTTTTGTTCTTGTTTTTGTTTTTGAGACAGAGTCTCATTCTGTCACCTAGGCTGGAGTGCAATGGCACAGTCATGGCTCACTGTAGCCTCAGCCTCCCCTACTCAGGCAATCCTCCCACTTCAAGCCTCCCTAGTAGCTGGGACTACAAGTGCATGCCACCTTGACTGACTAGTTGTTTGTATTATTTTGTAGAGATGAGGTTTTACCATGTTGCCCAGGCTGGTCTCAGACTCCGGGGCTCAAGTGATCCACCTGCCTCAGCCTCCCAAAGAGTTGGGATTACAGGCATGAGCCACTGGGCCAGCCCTTTATTTCTATAATTTGCAAGCATTTGTGTCCAACTGGCATTATTTCTTCCTTAAATGTTTGGTAGAATTCACTGGTGCCACATTTGGGCCTGGGATTTGATTTGTGTGAATTTAAAAAAAAAAAAAAAAAGCTGTATTGAAACATAATTCACATACCAAGCAATTCACCCATTTAAAATGTACAATTCTTGCTGCGTGCAGTGGCTCATGCCTGTAATTCCAGCACTTTGAAAGGATGAGGCAGGTGGATCACTAGGTCAGGAGGTCAAAAGTAGCCAACATGGTAAAACCCTGTCATTACTTTAAAAAATACAAAGATTAGCTGGACATGGTGACATGGGCCTGTAATCCCAGCTACTCAGGAGGCTGAGGCAGGAGAACTGCTTGAACCCCGGAGGCAGAGGTTGAAGTGAGCTGAGATCACACTACTGCACTCCAGCCTGGGTGAAAGAGTGAGACTCTGTTTCAAAAAAAAAAAAAAAGGCCGGGCACGGTGGCTCAAGCCTGTAATCCCAGCACTTTGGGAGGCTGAGGCGGGTGGATCACGAGGTCGAGAGATCGAGACCATCCTGGTCAACACGGTGAAACCCCGTCTCTACTAAAAATACAAAAAAATTAGCTGGGCATGGTGGTGCGTGCGAGGCAGGAGAATTGCCTGAACCCAGGAGGCGGAGGTTGCGGTGAGCCGAGATCGTGCCATTGCACTCCAGCCTGGGTAACGAGAGAAACTCTGTCTCAAAAAAAAAAAAAAAAAAAAAAAAAAAAAAGAATAAAATGTACAATTCTTGAACTTGTCTCAGAGGAATGAAAAAAATGTACAATTTAATGATTTTTAGTTATTCACAGATGTGTGCAACCATCACTACAACCAAATTTACAACATTCAGAACATTTTCAAATTTAGAATATAAAGAAAGCTCAGCCCTTAGCAGTCACTCCCCTTCTGAGGGAATTTTTTTTTTTTTTTTTTTTTTTTTTTTTTTTTTTTTTTTGAGATGGAGTCTCGCTTTGTCATCCAGGCTGGAGTGCAGTGGCACAATCTTGGCTAACTGCAACCTCTGCCTCCAGAGTTCAAGCGATTCTCTTGCCTCAGCCTCCCGAGTAGCTGGGATTACAGGCTTGTGCCACTATGCCTGGTTAATTTTGTATTTTTAGTAGAGAAAGGGTTTCATCATGTTGGCCAGGCTGGTCTCAAACTCCTGACCTCAAGTGATCCACCTGCTTCGGCCTCCCAATGTGCTGGGATTACAGGCGTGAGCCACTATACCTGGCCTATTAAATCTCTAATTAAAAATATTTCTGGGCTGGGCACGGTGGCTCAAGCCTGTAATCCCAGCACTTTGGGAGGCCGAGGTGGGTGGATCACGAGGTTGAGAGATCGAGACCATCCTGGTCAACATGGTGAAACCCTGTCTCTACTAAAAATACAAAAAATTAGCTGGGCATGATGGCATGTGCCTGTAATCCCAGCTACTCAGGAGGCTGAGGCAGGAGAATTGCTTGAACCCAGGAGGCAGAGGTTGCGGTGAGCCGAGATCGCGCCATTGCACTCCAGCCTGGGTAACAAGGGCGAAACTCTGTGTCAAAAAAAAAAAAAAAAAAAAAAAAAAAAAAAAAAAAAAAAATTCCTGGCTGGACATGGTGAACAGAGCAAGACTCCATCTCAGAAAAGAAAAAAAATTTATAGATTTAATTAAGCATTTTCTCCTTCCTTCATGCTCAAACCCAAGTACCCACACTTCAGGATTAGCTCTTCCCTGAGATTTCTGCTCCACAGAATCAATGCCACCAAAGAATGAGGTGCTGTTTGTGGCACCGCACTGGGCAGAGGGACACAGAAAGGACTTAAGAGGGCAGGGCACTGAATCCCAGCTCTATAGAACCCTAAGCTTTAGCACTAGTCAAGCCTTTGAACAAGGTTAAATTCTTAATTTCTGTCTTCATTTGCAAAGTGGGGAGAGTAATACCTTCTGTATTTTTGATGAATGGGGTGACCCAAATGAGAGAATGTGTGTAAAAGCACCTTGAAAATTGTTTTTTTTGTTTTTGTTTTTGTTTTTGAGACAGAGTCTTGCTCTTTCACCCAGGATGTAGTGTAGTGGCACGATCTCAGCTCACTGCAAGCTCCATCTCCTGGTTCAAGCAATTCTCCTGCCTCAGTCTCCCGAATAGCTGGGACTACAGGTATGCACTGCCACACCCAGCTAATTTTCATATTTTTTAGTAGATATGAGAGTTCACCATGTTTGCCAGGCTGGTCTCAAACACTTGACCTCAGGTGATCCACCCGCCTTGGCCTCCCCAAGTGTGGGATTACATGCGTGAGCTACTGCCCCTGGCTGCACCTTGAAAATTGTAAGCCTAGGCCACGGGAGGAAACCCTGTCTCTACAAAAAGTACAAAAAATTATCCAGGCATAGAGGCATGCATCTGTAGTCCCAGCTCCTTGGGAGGCTGAGGTGGGAGGATCACCTGAGCCTGGGAGTTCGAGGCTGCAGTGAACCATGATAGCGCAGCTGCACTCTAGACTGGGCCAGGCACAGTGCCTCAGGCCTTTAACCTCAGCACTTTGGGAGGCGGAGGCAGGTGGGTCACAAGGTCAGGAGTTCAAGACCAGCCTGGCCAATATGGTGAAACCTCGTCTCTACTAAAAATACAAAAATCAGCTAGGCATGGTGGCACATGCCTGTAATCCCAGCTACTCGGGAGACTGAGGCAGGAGAATCAGTTGAACCCAGGAGGCGGAGGTTGCAGTGAGCCAAGATTGCACCACTGTACTCCAGCCTGGGCAACAGAGTGAGACTCCATCTCAAAAAAAAAAAAAAAAAGAAAGAAAGAAAGAAAGAAAGAAAGAGGCTAGGCACAGTGACTCATGCCTGTAATCCCAGCATTTTGGGAGGCCAAATCAAATCGAGCAGATCACGAGGTCAGGAGTTCGACACCAGCCTGGCCAACATAGTGAAACGCCATCTCTATTAAAAACACAAAAATTGGCTGGGCACGGTGGCTCATGCCTGTAATCTCAGCACTTTGGCAGGCCGAGGCAGGCGGATCACCTGAGTTCAGGAGTTCAAGACCAGCCTGGCCAATATGGTGAAACCCTGTCTTTTTAAAAATAAAAAATAAAAATTTTTTAAAATAAAGAAACAAAAAAATTCTCTATTACACACACACACACACACACACACACACACACATACACACACACACAAATTAGCTGGGCATGGTGGCACATGCTTGTAGTCCCAGCTACTCAGGAGGCTGAGGCAGGAGAATCACTTAAACCCAGGAGGTAGAGGTTGCAGTGAGACGAGATCGTGCTGCTGTACTCCAGTTTGGGCAACAGAGGGAGAATTTGTCTCCAAAAAAAAAAAAAAAAAGAAAAAGAAAAAAATGGAAGGCTGGATGCCGTGGCTCATGCCTGTAATCCTAGCACTTGGAGAGGCCAAGGCGGGTGGATCACTTGAGGTCAAGAATTTGAGACCAGCCTGGCCAACATGGTGAAACCATGTCTCTACTAAAAATAGAAAAATTATCTGGGTGTGGTGGCAGTAATCTCAGCAACTTGGGAGGCTGAGGCAGGAGAATTCTCCTGATGGAGAACGAGTGCGTTCCATTAACAGAGTGCTTGAACTCAGGAGGCAAAGGTGGTTGCAGTGAGCTGAGATTGCACCACTGCACTGCTGCCTGAGTGACAGAGCAAGACTGTGTCTCAAAAAAAAAAAAAAAAAGAGGAAGGTGGGAGAGAGGGAAAGATAGAAAGAAGAAAGAAGAAAGAAAGAAAGAAAGAAAAAGAAGAAAGAAATAAAAAGAAAATTGTAAAGTAGTGCTCACTTGGGCAGCACATTTTCTAAAACTAGAATGATACATAGATGATTAGCATGGTCCATACACAAGGATGACATGATTTTACAAATTCTCAAGTATTATTAGGTATTATTATTATTAAGATATTATTGAAGGGCTGGCAATTCAGCAGAGGAAAAATAAACATAGAAATAACAGACATAGGAGAGAGATCCAAGATGGCTGATTACTAGCAGCTCAGGATTGTAGCTCCCAGTGAACACAGAGAACGAGAGGACGCCACACTTTCAGACGAATTTTTGTTGCTCACAGACCAGGAGATTCCCAACGGAGGAGCCCCACAAGTCGCCAGTGTGACTCTTGTGGCTGGCGAGGCGACTTTGCCAGCGCCCCGGCACAGCGGTTCTTGCTACAGAGTAAACGGGACTGGGTCCCCTTTTGGTCGATGTTTGGAGCTCCGGGAAGGCAGAGTCGCCTATTCAGCTGATTGAAAAAGGGACTCAAGAAGGAAGCCAGATGGGAGATTCCTGGGCAGAAAAGCATCACAAATTTTAACGCTGCTGTTTTGGCGGGGGCAGTGGGTTGCTCAGATTCCGGCGCTAGGAATCAACAAGTTGGACGTCCACTCAGAGACCTAATTTGAAAGTCAGTAATTACAAAGACGACAGGTGGATAAATTTACAATGATGGGAAGAAACCAGCGTAAAAAGGCCAAGAATACCCAAAATCAGAATGCTTCTCCCTCTACAGGGGATCACAGTTCCTAATCAACAAGGGAACAAGGCCTGATGGAGAACGAGTGCGTTCCATTAACAGATTTAGGCTTCAGAAGGTGGATAATAAGAAACTTCTGTAAGTTAAAAGAACCTGTTCTAGCCCAATGTAAAGAAACTAAGAACCTTGAAAAAAGGTTTGACAAAATCCTAATGAGAATAGACAATCTAGAGAGGAATATAAGTGAATTAATGGAACTGAAGAATACAATACGAGAACTTCGCGAAGTATGCACAGGTTTTAACAGTCGAATTGATCAAGCAGAAGAAAGGATATCAGAGGTCGAAGACCAACTTAATGAAATGAAAATGAGAAGACAAGATTAGAGAAGAAAGAGTAAAAAGGAATGAGCAAAGTCTCCAAGAAATATGGGACTATAGGCTGGGCGCGGTGGCTCATGCCTGTAATCCCAGCACTTCGGGAGGCCGATACGGGTGGATCACGAGGTCAAGAGATCAAGACCATCCTGGTCAACATGGTGAAACCCCGTCTCTACTAAAAATACAAAAATTAGCTGGGCATGGTGGTGAGTGCCTGTAGTCCCAGCTACTCGGGAGGCTGAGGTAGGAGAATTGCTTGAACCCAGGAGGCGGAGGTTGCGATGAGCCGAGATCATGCCATTGCACTCCAGCCTGGGTAACAGGAGTGAAACTCCGTCTCAGAAAAAAAAAAAAAAAAGGGACTATGTGAAAAGACATAATTTACGTTTGATAGGTGTACCTGAATGTCATGAAGAGAATGAATCCAAGCTGGAAAATATTCTTCAGGATATTATTGAGGAAAACTTTCCTAACCTAGTAAGGCAGGAAAATACTCAACTTCAGGTAATACAGAAAACACCACAAAGATATTCCTCAAGTAGAGCAACCCCAAGACACATAATCATTAGATTCACCAGGGTTGAAATAAAGAAGAAAATTCTAAGGGCAGCTAGAGAGAAAAGTCAGGTTACCCATAAAGGGAAGCCTATTAGACACAGCAGATCTCTCAGCTGAAACCCTACAAACTAGAAGGAGTGGGGGTCAATATTCAAATCCTCAAAGAAAAGAATTTTTAACCCAGAATCTCATATCCCTTCAAATTAAGCTTCATAAATGAAGGAAAAATAAAAATTTTTGCAAACAAGCAAGCACTCAGAGATTTCATCACCACCAGGCCTGTTTTACAAGAGCTTCTGAAAGAAGCACTATACACAGAAAGGAACAACCAGTATCAGTCATCCCAAAAACTTACCAAAAGGTAAAGAGTATCTCCATAATGAAGAATCTATATCAACTCATGGGCAAAATATCCAGCTAGCGTTAAACAACAATATTAAACTCACAAATATCAGTATTAATCCTAAATTTAAATGGTTTAAATGCCCCAATCAAAGACACAGACAGGCAAATTGAATAAAAAGTCAAAACCCAGGGGTTCGCTGTATCCAGATCCATCATAAGCAAGGACACACAAAGACTCAAAACAAAGGGTTGGTGGAAGACTTACCAATCAAATGGAGAGAAAAAAAGAAAAGAAAAGAAAAGAAAACAGGAGATGTAACTTTCGTCTCTGACAAAATAGACTTTAATAGTAACAAAGATTAAAAGAAACAAAGAAGGACATTACATAATGGTAAAAGGATCAATGCAACAACAGGAGTCAATGATCATAAATACATATGCATCCCATATAGGAACACCCAGATACATAGGACAAGTTCTTAATGACTTATACAGAGACTTGGACTCCCGCACAATAATAGTGGGAGACTCTGACACCACGTTGTTAATATTCGACGGATCAACGAGATAGAAAATTAAACAGGGACATCTATTATTTGGACTCAGACCTGGAACAAGTAAACTCAGTGAATATTTATAGAATTCTTCACCCCAGGTCCACAGAACATACATTTTTCTCAGTATCATATTACACCTATTTTGAAAGTGACCACATAATTGAAAGTAAATCACTCTTCAGCATTTGCATAGCATTTCACAGATTTAAATGAAATATTGGTTGGCTGTTTGTTATTTTCTTCCCTTATTCCTTCCTGTCTCCACTGTTAAGCACAATTATTGGCATAAAAGAGGTTTTTAATACCTATTTTTAGATTGCATTCCAGCCTGGGCAATAGAGCAAGACTCCTGTTCTCTCTCCGCCTTTCTCTTTCTCTTTCTTTCTTTAAAAGAAAAGAAAAGAAATAACAGACATCATTACTAAAGATACACAAGCGTGAACAACCGTAACTACATTTTTGAGCACTCACTATGTGCCAAGCACTGTATTAAGTGCTAAATGTGGATCACCCCTCACTGGTTTTTGTAATAACCCCGTGGAGTGCTGCTAGTATTTTTATTTTACAGACGAGAAAAGTGATGCTTAGAGGGGCTAAGTCGCTCACTCAAAATTATATATGGCTACTAACTGATAGTCTGTGAGGAGGTTCGGCCAGGTCGGACTGACCATGAGAGGACTACATTTATGGTCCGTCAAGGAAGCTGACCCTCTCCACAGAGTAAAAGTTAACTCAGTAACCTTTCTAAAGCAATCCCGCCCCTTCACCCAGATTTATTTCTCTATATATTTTTCTCTGAACGTTTTCCCTTTTCCCTTTCCTTTATCTCTCTGCCACCCACCCCCCACTCCCCACCCCTCCAGATTCTTCTCATAGCTTCACAGATCAGCTCTGGGATGGATGCAGAGGCTCCTGTTTCCATGGTGATGCGGGGAGGTTGGTACACCACACGCCAAGTGTAGGCGAAGCAGAGAATTGGCCGAGGATCCAAAGGTGCCGGCAGTAACCAGGCTCTGGGGAAAGAGATCGATAAGAAAGCCAAGTCTGGATGACTGGACCTCCCTGGAGCTCCAGAAGGACCACCACCCCCAGCACGGCCCCTGCCCTCCCTAAGCGCCTAGTTTGGAAGTCGAAGTCGGAAGAGCGCAGAAAAGAAGCGAGGGGAAGCGAGCGCAAAGCAGAAGCTACCACCTCTGACTTGCTTTGAAGACAAAGCCTAGTCGTCGGTGGGAAGACTGCCCAGTGGGCGACGGCCCCCTCCTGAGCCGCCTCCGCCTCGCTCCTTCTCTCCGGGTTCTGACCTCGGTCGGAGCCACCGGGCTCTCGGCCGGGCGCTGAAGGGGAGCTGGGCAGCCAGCAGGGGGCAGAGTCCCCCGCAGTAAAGGCGTGTGTGGGCCTGCTTCCTCTGCTACCACCCAACCCCTGCCTTCACTGGGATTATTTTCAGCTGACAGGCTGCAAAGGCGCAGTAGGTGGATGTCAGGGCAGGAGATGGGTTCTGGCAGGGGCTGTGAGCCTATGAAGCGTTGTTCTTAAGCTCAGTGGGCCCCACTGAGGAGCCGGGTATTTAGGACCACAGAGTCGGGGGCTGAAGCAAGGGGCACTTTAACTTTTTTCTAGCAATGGTTTCTTCTGAGGTTTTCCTTGATCCATTGAAAACAATTACAACACTCTGTGAAGAGGAGGCTCATTCATTCATTCAATAATGTTTATTGAGTATCATCTATTATAGTCACAATGGATGGATCCAATCAAAAATAAATATTTACAGAATGCCTACCGATACTGATTCTTTTTTTTTTTTTTTTTTTTTTTTGAGACGGAGTTTTGGCCGGGTACGGTGGCTCACACCTGTAATCCCAGCACTTTGGGAAGCCGAGGTGGGCAGGTCACAAGGTCAGGAGATCGAGACTATCCTTTTGAAACCCTGTATCTATAAAAAAAATTTTTTTATTATTTATTTATTGAGACGGAGTTTCGCTCTTGTTACCCAGGCTGGATGGAGTCCAATGGCGCAATCTCGGCTCACCACAACCTCCACCTCCTGGGTTCAGGCAATTCTTCTGCCTCAGCCTCCTGAGTAGCTGGGATTACAGGCACGCGCCCCATGCCCAGCTAATTTTTTGTATTTTTAGTAGAGACGGGGTTTCACTATGTTGACCAGGATGGTCTCGATCTCTTGACCTTGTGATCCACCCGCCTCGGCCTCCCAAAGTGCTGGGATTATAGGCGTGAGCCATTGCGCCCGGCCTTTTTTTTTTTTTTTTTTTTTTTAAGAGAGAGACAGAGTTTTGCTCTTGTTGCCCAGGTTGGAGTACAATAGTGCAGTCTCAGCTCACCACAACCTCCATCTCCTGGGTTCAAGCAATTCTCCTGCCTCAGCCTCCAGAGTAGCTGGCATTACAGGCATGTGCCATGACACCCAGCTAATTTTGTATTTTTAGTAGGGACGGTGTTTCTCGGTGTTGGTGAGGCTGGTCTTGAACTCCCGTCCTGAGGTGATCCGCCCTCCTCAGCCTCCCAAAGTGCTGAGATTACAGGTGTGAGCCATGGCACCTAGCCCACACAC